TGGTGTTCCACGCGCCGAGCGTTCCGGCACCTGCAGCAGTAACTCTTCTAAAGCAAAAGCCCAAAACAAATGTCATTTTGCCTACGTGTTCGTCAACGCTTTATTTTGGTTATTTACTTCGAATCTTTTATACGGGGAAGGCGTGTGCGTGCGATGCGTGCAGCGTGCGAGCGTAGAGTTTTTGTTGACGCACAAGAAAAATCCACGGAACCCTAGCGATAAACAGCTTCGCTGTAAAACCTAAAATACAGCACCGCGGCTGACGACATCTAGCGGAGCCATTGCGAAGCTGCCCGAGTTTTTGTCGTAAAAGCACGTTTTGGACTTAAAACAAACGAAACATAACTTATCTCGTCGGTACTGTTATCAAACATAAATAAGCAATTATTTGTGCGCGGTACTTCGGTAAAATATTCGTGACTCCAGCGACCTATAGGGGGCGCCACCACCAAATAAACATGGCGGCTGGGTCAAGGTCGCGTCGGCTCGGACGGGGCGCCTGAACGGGTGGCGCATTCATTTGTTCAATGCCCAATTTTAAAGGTATTTGAACTGCGACGGTCAAGTGTAGCCGGTGCACATAAACTTGCAGAGCATATTACCGGAGAGACGGTAATAGACTCGAATCAGTTTTGATCATCTAAGGAAAGCGGTGATGACTTCAGAATTGTTCCACCGAGAGTAATTAATTTTAATCTAACTCGCATGCCTTGACCATGCGACTAATCTGTCCGCAAAATCGAGCTTTTGTGCGTATCCGCGTTTAAGAAACAGCTCCAGTCGTCTGCTCGGTCAACAACACAGGCTGCAGGAAAATTACGAAAATTAAGCAAGCGCTTCTTGAGCCAAGGAGCATGTTAACCCGCTGGCGCCCCACTAAGCAGTTGATACTCGTATTTCAATTCAGTTTTAGTACCAATCGAGAAGTCATTTTGACGAATATGCGGGTTATGTAATATATTACGTACTATGTCCCACTAAAGAGATATTAGTATATTCTTCGGGTTGAAATATGAGCTTAATTGACTGGCGTACTGCTGAATAAAAGTATATTTTTAGACAGAGAGATACTACTTAAACTCAGCAAAATTGTTCTAGCCGGTAGCACGGAGACAAATGCGGACAAAATGAAGAGAGTCTTCATCGAAGATTCACGCAGAATCTCTCTGCATTGAACTTGTCTTCGAATCCTGAACGGAGAAAATGTGTATTTTTTGTGGCCGGTCAACCTGAGCAATGTAGACGTATATTGCTGCTGGCTTCGACGGGGGTATAATATAAATATTGGAGGCGCGATAGATCATAATGCCGTGACAGCTTCTAACTTTGCGAGACGCGTCCCCCATCTTTTGAAAGCAGACAATTCCCCTCATTAATCGTATGCAGCGAGCAGGTTTTCCAGAATCAAGTAATTGCGAAATCAGCCCAAGTCCTTCGGTGTGTTCCAGAGGCTTTTTCGGTGAAAAGCAACCAAGATGAATAGCGAACGCACTGACCGGCGTGGGCGGCTCAAACTTGAAGCTGATCGAACACAACCAAACTCGAGAAAAGCAGCTATCGAACCTTCCCATTCACTTGACTGCAACATTGGTGTTCCCTCCAGTGAAACACCTCGTCTGCCGTCCTCAGTCCACCGTTCTACATCCTTATAAAGAAACCACTTATCAGTGACCATGTAGTCCTCACTTTGAATGTGATTCGAGACAGACAAGAAATTAAAACGTTTTCCCGTAATTCCTCCCCATCCAAGAAATCGAAAGCACGCGACCGCGTGTGGTGGAGCAAACGGGCTTTCAAACACGTGATGGAAGGAAACAATCTACTGAGGCTTCACCACACTAATGAACACTCAGGCAAACGTAAGAAATATTCAGACCTTGGTCAAATTACATTGTTCGCCACCGCGCCGACAACACGTGTCCGCGAAAGCCACCAGGGACGCGGAGGGGGGGCAAAGCGACCTGTTCCGCCTTGCGCCCAGTTATCCCGCTTGGTGGCGTCCGTTTTGCTGGAGTCGCGAATAAGTGCAAAATGATAAGGTCACGTGTATAGTGGCAAAAAAAAAAAAAAGTACAGCATGGCGGCGGCCCATCGGGGGTCACTTTCAGCTGCCAGTTTATCGCTCTTACGTCGTTGACTCTTTTGCAGGTCAAGAAAAGCAGCTGGACAAGGTCCTCCCGCGAAGCCCTCCCCTCTTTACACTTTACCAGAGCCAAGTCCGGAGAGGAGACGTGACCGAGGTGTGCAGGTCCCTCCTCGCCTCGTCTCGCCTCCTCTCGGGCGTTCGCTCTGGTAAAGGGGAAAGAGTGGTGGGCTTCGCGGGAGGAACTTGACCAGCTGCTTTTCTTGACCTTGAGGTGGAGTACTATTAATTGTATTAAACTACTCAATAAAATTAATTAAAGAAATTGTGTTTTATTCACCGCAAAACTAATCTACGCATCGCCGAACGCTCAGTTCTCGTCCAACTGTAATGCTAGCGGTCCGGATCAGATACCAAAGTTTCAGAACTAACCGTCATTTCTTATTCCTAGGTTATAAGGGATTTTCTGAACTTTCAACGGGATAATGGGGCCCGTTCCTGCTGACGCCATTCACCTCCATATTCCCTATTTCCCAAGGAAAATATTCGAAAATTGCCTAGAACTTTTGAACAAAATAAGGGCAAGCTCTGATACTTTGCTATCTGGTCCGAACCAGACTTGTACGTAGTTCAACTACTCTACTCAAGCTACTGTAATTCAACTACTTTTCTTAGTAGCTTGGTAAATTTCAATTACATTTTTATTTGCGTAATTTGTAGTTTACTTTAATTACTTTTTCCGAGTAACTTCTACTGAAATTACAAATTACCTTCGAATTTTAGTGGTAGGTTTGCTTACCAACAAACATTCCTGCACATAAAAAAGAAAAGATGTTTGACGATCAGCTTATATTTCCAAGGAGGTGGGGCGGGGGGGATTGGAGGGGGAGGGGAGAAGTGGTTTGGAGGGTCCGAAAGCCACTAAAATTTTCACGAGCGCCCCACTGCAACAACCTTGCTGCGAGGCACGAGGAGTGAGGCCGAGTAACTGCAAGATTAGCGCCGACTTTTGTCCCGAAGCTCGAGGAGACTTGACGCATTTGAAAAAAAGGGCTTGTCCCGGTTCTTCCCAAGGCAGGAACTCTCGCCCATTACAGGAGGTGCACACACAGCATTCTCACTCAAAAGAGACAACCAAATGCAGCACCCGCTATGAAGCTCATTCGATGCTTCCGTGTGCTGTACTTGAAGAATCGCGTACTAAAGGGCAACGCAAAGGTGACCTCTTTGCGTTGCCTTTCCTTCAAAAACTCAAAATATGCAGGTCGTCTTCTAAGATTCGAAGGTCGTTCGAAAAACATTACTAATTCTCCCAACGTCTTTAGGTAAAAGAAAATAATAAACAAGCAGTGCTGGGAAGTACTTTAAGTAGATGGTACTTAAAGTACTAATTCGAGTAAGTTTACAAAGCTTCTACTTTACTTGAAGTACACTCTGAGCGTGTACTTGTACATTACTAAAGTATTTTTTTTTCTAGTACTTTCCGAGGAAAGTATAGCTCCCGACTCCAAATTACATTCCCCAAATTTGAAAACAACAAAAGGCGTATTGTCATGCGAAAACGAGCTATCGTTAAACGAGACGTCATCTGGCCATTTCTCTGAGTGAAGTAATGGCGGCTGTAAGACCGATACAAATAAGTGCCTTATAAGTTAATTGCTTTAAATAGTTCGTCAGTGAAAGTAAAACAACTACTCTGTGACGACTTGACTTTATTAAATATCTGCTGCCATTTCTGAAAAAACTGGTGCACCTCCCATTACCCCCGGACCAATGCATACCACTTAAAAAAGTAAAAACTCTGTATAGGGGACGAAAGGGCATCATGAAAGATTGTGTTAAAAAGTACTTGTCCTTTACTTTGAAACTACATTGTATTTATAGTACTTTACTTGAAGAACATTTCACCCAGTGTACTTGAGCTTTTGTGCTTGAAGTTCATAACTGTCAGTTACTTTGTACTTTACTTCAATTACTTTTTAGAACTACTTTGTGCAACACTGTAAACAAGCAAACATTGTCTGCGAAATTAAGCTCAGGCAGGGCTAAACCTCAAAGTAGATATTATACATCCGCAATGCATCATTAAAAAAAAAAAAAAAAAAAAAAAAAAAAGATTAGGCGCGCAAAAGCAGAACTAGCTATTAAAGCATTTCTGTGAAAAAAAAAAATCGTTTTATACTTGACTAGCGAAATTTCGCTAAAGGATCAAAACCTGTTGTTTCTTGTTACCATAAAAAATAAAAGTAACTTCAGAAGTAATTCGCTACTTTTTACGGTAGTTAGTTATTTACTCAACTACTTTCCATTTGAGTGATTTCTGCTCGACTCAAATTACTTTTGAGGCCAGTACTCAGTAACTTAGCTTAATTACTTTCTCTGAGTAACGTGTATATGTCTGGTCCGAACCGCTAGCGCTACATTTTAGCCCAGACTGAGCGTTCGCCGATACGTAATTTCATTTTCGCAGTGAGAAAAACTCTACATTTTTATAGGTGAAATAGTATTAATAATTGTAAAAAAAGTAAAGCCTGGTTCAGACATTTGAGTTTCACTGCGTTTGACTGCGTTGCGGCTGCGAGAAACCAGGACATTCCTGCTGCTTATATCGCGTGCCAAGATGATTCCTTGTATTGGATTCCACGCTCATACGAAGCACAGAGGTGCCGGTGACTAGCTTTCGGTTCTCGACGCAACGCAACCCGATGTGAGAAAGAATGAATAAATAACGACCGACACATATACTTTTCATTTGTATAAACGCAAAGTAGAAGTTCCACGCTATGAAGTATACCATATAGATGCATGAACGCTACTATGAGCGCGTTAAGTTTGCGTTAGTTGTGCATTAACTAACAGCTGCATACCTACAGTACAATTAGTGCTAATAATATAGTGTATAAGCCGCTGTACTTAACTGGCTTCTTGCCCTCCTGTTTCACTGATACGTGCACCGACACTGACAGCAAAGCACGTTTGCTCTTCGGCCGTTATCTGGTCTTGCTGCAGCTTGTCCTAGTCATCAGTTACGTGTCTTACGAGAATGATAAAACGAGTGCCAGAAAAAAAAATATTGCAATAGGCTTGTTGCTGTAACGGAGAGTATCTATTCAATAAGGAGGCGGACAAATGAAGATAAAAAAGAAACCATAAAATGCAAGCGCTATTCAGGGTGTTTCACCGACGACTGAGAATAATTTAAACAAAAAGGGCGCTTAAAATCTAGAAATGATTTCCTCGGGATAACGTTCTCGACCGCGGCGGACGTTGGATTACAAGCGCAGAGGGATAATAAGCAAATGAATCACCTAACATGTATTAATTAACTTTTGCGATATTCGCCTCAGCTGGCACGTTTCAAATAGAGATCTGTTGCCCGTCGTCAAAATCTGTCACAACTGTTTTATGATTCAGGCAACTAAATTCTGCTTCGCGCTTTTCACTGGCGATTTTAAGCTGAGAGGAAACTGAGCGCCGGAAGGCCACCCGGAAGCGACGTCAAGCCTCCGCAGCGAGCACGGGGCACTCTCTCCTCAAACACGCAAGCTTCCGCGTTTTTTTTTTTTTTTTAACATCTTAGTTTCGGTATGGCCTAAATTCACCAGACATAGCGCGATACAAAATTGTCTCAATTCTAAAAAAAAGCAAAAAAAAAAAAACAAAACAAAACAAAACAGCTATAGCATACTTAGACTTTTTTTACAAAATATTTACACAGAGAGGACAGAACACGTACAGCACGGAATATGTGCTGTCCGTGTTCTGTCCTTTATGCGTAACTGTTTCGTGAAAAAATGTATGCAATACCAACACGCTTCCCAAAAAAAAAAAAAATATATATATAACTTGAAGACAGGCAACAAATGTTCAATTAAAACGTAACAACTAAGGCGAATATTAAAAAAAAAAGATATTAGTGGTTTTTATGTAATTATTTTGATAATTATCACTTTCCTCTCCGTCGTGGGCTCAATCACCAGGCTCAATCTAAAATAAACAGTAAAAATCGACGCCTGGACATAGCAATATAAACTTTTCGTCAAAGGTGTATTTCACAGATCGTTTTTTTTTTTTGTAAAATTGCGAAGCGCAGCTCCCTTTCTGTAAAAAATAGGGCCGAAAAACTTGCTATGGCCAACGGCGGGCGGCGACCCAGACGACCAAGTCGAGTTGCGGGACGCGTTTGAGGCGCGTATTCATAGGTGGCGTCGGGAGCATCGTGGAAAGGTATAGCCGACATTACTAAAACACTCTGTTGGGAAACTCACCCTTGAAGAGACCAAGCTAAATACGATAACAGCGCCTCCTTTTAGCGACGAGTTGAAACATGAAAGTTGCTTTATTTGGCTACTGATAGAGTCACTCAATGTTCCCAGAATACCAAAACTCCTAGGCTCGAGGTGCCAAGATGGCGGCTCAATCTTTTTTTCTTTGCTGTGGTCGCCATGGCCTTTTAGAAAGCGTGTTTTTGCGTAAAAACAGACGGAAAAAGCTCTTTTTGTAGGAACTTTTGTTGGAGATTAGCACAGAATGACAGGCGCGTAATGTTTTCTAATATCTTTACAAGGTTTTGCGTCACAATTATTATTGTTTTGATACAACCATGTCTCACCGGTGATTTCAGGTCGCGTGTCGCGACTAGGGCGCGTCCTAATTTCGGTAGTAAATCGCGGCATGTCCGCTTGGGAGACGGGGGGGTGGCATCCCTGAAACCCCTTCCACCGTATACATGTTTCGGCGCCAAAATGGTCGATTAAACACCGAAATAGAACAGTAATAATGGACGCTATCGAATGCGATACTCCCGAACCAATTCCAGCAGCCGTGCAGTCCCCTGAGTGGCCGCTGCGGGAGAAATGGCGGCGTTGCGATTGCCATTAGCTTGGTTCTCGAGTACGGATCCGTGCCACTTTTTCGGAGCAGGCTCTATGGCTGTTTCTCAGTTGAGTTGTTCTAGTAACGTTGTGTGTAGCCGACCAGCGAAAGAAAGTAGACGGCATGCAGACGAAATCCGTTGGCTGCAAAAGCGCCGTCGTTATGCAAACGCGTTTTGTTTTTCCTTTAAGTTTTGCTTTTATTGTCCGCATTTATTTTTTAACCAGAGGTACATTAACAAAAGATCATGCTCATTTTAATCAACCATGTGGGTCGTGGTTTATTAAAATAATAATAATAATAATACTACTACTACTACTAATAATAATAATATATGAGTGGGCAGCATGGTATACTACCCGTACTACGCGCGCTTGCTCACGGCACCAGAGAGGAAGTGGTGGAGTAATCTGAAGAGACGGAAGATGCAAAATCGGATTAAGCGGTCACTTCAGGCTACAAGCAGAAGGGCTGCAAAGTGGGGGCGTCGGGACGGCCAGTGGAGACGGCCAGGTGGCACTTTCTCCTGCGGACAGCACCTCAAAAAGAAGTGCTCGAAATTAAAACTCCGGCCAAGGCCTATTTAAATCGAATACGCTGACTAGGCGGCGCAAGGCGCCACACGATTAAAAGGTCTCATCCGTATTCATTCATTCATGGACATTACCTTCCATATTAGTGTCATAGACGAAAGCTACGCATCGGACGTGTGTTCTAGTCTCCTCTATTTTCATTGAATATTTTGCTTACGTCGACTTTATATCAGCAAGTAGCTTCACAACGTCATCGGGAGGTCCCTATAGTCCCCTCCAGGGCCTTCTGACCCTTCAATCCGGTTTTTAAACCGGCGAGGTATGGACACCACGACCGCCCCTGCAACTGCCATGGATGAAACACCCGACCCGACCGCGCAGGATGACGCCGCAAGCCTGTCCGACTCGCTGATTGAAGACACTGAAGGTCCCTTCCAGGAAGTGACATGCAGAAAGAAGAGACGCTGCAGCAGTCACAACTCTGGCTCCAGCGACGCGACCATCGTCACCCTCCCAGAGCCGACAGTTGGTCTGGTGGTTCTGTTCACGCCACTGGATCCAGACATGAGCATCGACTCCATTGATTCGGTCCGCGTCTCTAATACCCTAGAGACGCTGGTGCCCTCATGCGTCATTGAGGCTCGATTCAACAGGCGAAAAAATCTTCTCGCGGTTGACACCCGGAATGGCCAGACAACGCGGGTGCTTCTAGGCTTGACCACGCTGTGCGGCATGAAAGTTCGAGCCTTTGAGCCCCGTGGAAAAGTTTCCAGTGTAGGCATCGTGCGCAACGTTGACATCGCTCTCTCAGACACCGAGATCGTCGGAGCGCTACGGTCAAGTGTAAGCATCCGTTGTGTTCGTCGGCTTGGAAAATCAAGCACAGTTCGCATTGAGTTTGCATCTGCCACACTTCCCCAACACATCTACGTTGGCTTGGTCCGGCATGAAGTCGACCTGTACGTTAACAACCCTCTGCAATGCCACCGATGCGGGCTCTTCGGTCACGTTGCGGCTGGCTGCAAGAGGAAGTTGGCTTGCCTCCGCTGTGCGCAGCCCCACGCAACTGCGCAGTGTGACGCCTCTGACCTCCGCTGCGTAAACTGCAACAAGTCGCATGAAGCAACGTCTCACATATGCCCGTTCTGGCAGGCCGAGCGCACCGTGTGCCGCTATCGCTGCGAGAACAACGTGCCGTTTGCGCAAGCACGAGCAGCATTTGACAAGCCTACTGATGCACAGGCTGTGCCGGAAGCACAAGCTGCACCAGAAGTCGACGGCTCTTACCCGGAACATCCACAAAGGCGAAGACATTCGCGACGACGCCAGGTGCAACAAACTTGCGCTGATAAATCGACCTCTTCACCTCTCCCCGAGACATCAAGTGCAGTAAACATCGATCCAGGTACCACGTCGGTCCCCGTGTCCACCGTCAACGAAAACGAGAAACGAAGCTTCAAAGACGTACTGTGCAGCAGCTCTAGAACGTCGGCTCCTCAAGTGCAAATGCGGCCTACACCAAAGCCTGCACAGAAACTCCCAGACACCGCACCGAAAATCGCAGATTCACGTCCGCCTCAAATTTTCTCCGGCTCCTCTTCGTTCTCCAGCATCGTTCGCCAGATATTCATTGCAGTACGAGAATTTTTACCATTCATAAAGTACTCATGGGCAGACAAGTTACTGCATTTCATTGGACTGATAGAACCTTTAATCGAAAGCTTCCTGCGATGAAGGTCCTTATCATGCTTAGCATTATCTATATGGCAGTCTGTCCCTCAATTTTACAATGGAACGCCCGCAGCATCGCCTCTAAACTACTGAGTTGCAATATTATCTTGCCTCTACGCCAGTGCCTATTGAGGAGTTTCAGCGACGGTGTCACCGCCCTGGCGGCCGGTCGCCGAAAGAGAACGAGGGGGATAGGTTCGCTGGGCGTTGGCTTCGTGTAAATGCGTTGGCCGCGAACGTAGGCTTATAAACTTCGGCAGCAAGAATATTACGCGGCTCTAGTGTTCCGGTACGAGCAACAGAGATGACACGAACTGCTACGACGAGCTACGACCACCCGCCGCAGCGATGCAGGCGTCGAAGGAGCGCAACCTGTGTACTACGCAGTCAGTCGCCGCCGTCGCCCGACGCAGGTCGTTTGGCATTCAGGACTTTCCGTCCCGGGCTCTTCGCTTGCACTTGGAACCGAGTATTATTCCCTGTGCTTCTGTATGTGCTCAGTGGCTGGATGTGGACCTCATAGAGCAGAGTTCTTCAGACTCGGCAGCGACTCAAAGTTGACGGCGGAGGGGCTTGCAGCAACGCTTTCGGTTGGTGCACGGGTGCGACGACTACACGGATAAATTTTAAGATTGCTGCTAGCAAGGTGGGCCATAGTCGCTTTATGTTGACACGATTTTGAGTGTAAGTACTCCGTGCAAAGGCGAATCTATCGCGTTTCTAATCCACCTTTGTTTTTGTTGTTGTTTTTGCGCTCGCACGACCGATTGAAAATGCTTCTGTACCAATCACGGAGTGAATGTCTTCGGCCTACATTGCGGAACGCCCAATAAA